CACTGCAGAATTCTCCAAGAAATACAAAGAAGACTTAATGCCGACACTATTCAAACTCTACAATGAAATCAAAAGGGAAGCAATTCTTCCTAAGTCATTCCTGGAAGCAAATATTACTCTAGCACAAAAACCTGAGAAAGACCCAACTAAAAAAGAGAAGAACTACAGGCCAATCTCTCTAATGAACACAGATGCAAAAATCCTCAATAAAATATTGGCAAATAAGATGCAGCAAATCATCAAGAAGGGTATACACCATGACCAAGTGGAATCCATCCTAGGCAGTCAGAGATGGTTCAACATATGTATATCAATAAATGTATTCCACTATATCAGTAAAGCCAAAAGTAAGAATCACGTGGTCATTTCTATAGATGCAGAAAAAGCTTTTGATAAGGCCCAACACTCTTTCATGATAACAAACTTACAGAAAATTGGCATAGATGGTCTTTACCTCAATATGATAAAGGCCATCTATGACAAACCAACAACCAGAATTACCTTAAAATCAGGCACATGACAAGGATGTTCATTATCACTGCTCCTATTCAACATAGTACTGGAAATACTAGCCAGAGCAACTAGACAAGAGAGAGAAATAAAAGGGGTAAAGATAGGAAAAGAGGAAGTTAAATTATCATTACTTGCAAATGATATGATACTTTACATAGAAGACCCCCAAAACTCCATTGAAAGACTTCTACATATAATAAATAAATTCAGCAATGTAGCTGGATACAAAAATCAATACTCAAAAATCAATAGCATTTCTATACACTAACAACAAAATCACAAAGAGAGAGAAATAAGAGAAGCCACACCCTTCACACTAGCAACCAAAAAATTGAAATACTTAGGAATTAATCTCAAGAAAGAAGTGAAAGATCTATATAATGAAAATTATAATAACTGAAAAAATTGAAGCGAATCTCAGAAAATGGAAGGACATCCCTTGCTCATGGATAGAAAGAATAAATATTGTGAAAATGGTCATTCTCCCAAAAATGTTATACTGATTCAATACAACCCCAATGAAAATACCATCAAAATATTTCATAGATCTAGAGAAATCACTCCTAAAATTCATCTGGAACCAGAAGAGACCTAGAATAGCCAAGGCAATTCTAAGCAGCAAAGCCAAGGCAAGGGGCACCACAATCCCTATACTACAAAGCTACTGCAATAAAATCAATGAGGTATTGGAATAAAAACAGATCTGAAGATCAATGGAATAGATGAGATGATACAAGCACAACTACAAACACACTCAACCACCTTGTCTTTGATAAAGGAGCCAAACAGGTTCACTGGAAGAACAAGTCTCTTTAATAAATGGTGGTGTAAAAACTGGCTCTCCATATGCCAAAAACTAAAACTAGACCCATGCCTATCATCATATAATAAACTAAAATCTAAATGGATCAAAGATATGAATGTTAAAACAGAAACACTAAATCTGTTGGAAGACACAGTAGGTAAAAATCTTGAAGATATGGGGGTAGGTAGAGAATTCATGAACAGGAATCAACCACATGGGAACTACTTCTGAGAATCAATAGCTGGGATCACCTCTTTTTAAAAAATTTCTGCATGTCAAAAGAAATCTCCAGCATAGTGAAAAGAAACACACAAACTGGGAAAAAAATCTTAGTGAACTCTCCCTCAGACAAAGATTTCTGTCTAAAACATATAGAGAATAAAAAAAAATCAGACCCCAAAATTCAAGGACCCAATCCAGAAATGGGCATACACACTTCTCAGATGAGGAAATACAAATGGCAAATAAATACATGAAAAAGTGTTCATAATCATTAGTCATTAGAGAAATGCAAGTTAAAACAACACCGAGATTCCATCTCATTCCAGAAAGAATGGTCAGGATCAAGAAAACTACCAACAAGAAATGCTGGAGAGGCTGTGGGGAAAAAGGAACTCTCCTGCACTGTTGGTGGGACTGTAGACTAGTGCAACCACTTTGGAGGTCAATCTGGAGATTCCTTAAAACCTGGGATTGAAAGTCTCATTCAATCCAGTTATTCTACTTATAGGCATATTCCCAGAAGAACTGAAAACATCATACCACAGTGATAAATGTGCACCCATGTTTATATCAGCATAATTTGTAATAGCCAGATCTTGGAAACAACCTAAGTGTCCATCCACTGAGGAAGTGATTAAAAAAGTTGTGGTATTTTTATTCAATGGAGTACTACTCAGCTATAAAGAATGATCACATTGAGATATTTATAAATAAATGGGTGCAACTTGAGACCATACTCATAAGTGAAATACATCAAACTCACATGTATAAATACCATATAGTCTCCCTAGCATAAGAAATGGTACATAAGAATTTATGGTAATCATCATTCCCCATTACATTGCTTTGAAGCCTAATAATGATTACATTCATTAGTTGGAATGGGTTTATCCTGGTTTGTTTGATTTTATTATGTGTGAGAGTATGCTGCTATTTTGAAGAAAACTTGTCATTATAATAGTCAATGCTGGTTTAATATCATCTTACTCTGAAGTCCTGCCATGCTTTTGCTCTTCTGTTCTCTTTGGTTCTATCATGTTGTACCTTATGGGATTGTATTATGTGTGATAGTATAAACAAATTTTCTATGGAAAATGAGATAATATAGTAGTGATTGTTCATTTTTTGTTATTTGGTTCTGAATGTCCTGTAATACTTCCATAGTCTTTAATGGTATATACTACTTTGTTATGTTTGATACTATTCTATATGAAGTTATGCTCAACTATTTCAAAGAAAGAGTCATTATGGTAGTCACTGTTAATCACGGATTGTCTTGTGGTGAAATACTGTGTTGCTTACATTGTTCTATTCTGATCTGCTTTATTATGTCCTGTTTTGTCTTAATCTCTTTAAAATAAAAAAAAAAAAAGAAGAGACAAGCACAACTACAAAGTCACTCAGCCACCTGATATTTGACACAGGGGCTAACTGTGTTCACTGGAAGTAGAATAGCCTCTTTAACGAATGGTGCTGTGTTCACTGGAAGTAGGATAGCCTCTTTAACGAATTGGCTCTCCACATGCTGAAGACTGAAAGTAGATTGTGCTTATCACCATGCACAAACCTAAAGTCTAAATGGATCAAATACCTAAATATTAAAACATAAACACTAAATATATGGAAAACAAGGTAGGTAGAAGTCTTGGAAACATAAGGGTAGGTAGAGAATTCATGAACAAAATGAAAGCTACACAGGAAACCCTTAAAAGAATTAACAAATGGGATCTCTTATTATTGAAATATTTCACTTCAAAATAAATCACCAACAGGGTGAAACAAAAACCCACAGAATGGGAAAGAATTTGAGCCAACAACCCCTCAGACAAAAGACTTATATCCACAATATTTCAAGAATTTGAAAACATCAAGGCCCCCCCCCCCCCAAATTCAAAGACCCTTTCCAAAAATGGACATCTGAGATGAACATATAGTTCTCAGATGAAGATATACAAATGGCAAATAAATACGTGAAGAAAGGTTCACCATCACTGGTCATTTGAGAAAAGCAAATTAAAACGGCATTGAGAATTCATCTCACTCCAGAAAGAATGGCTACCATCAAGAAATCAACCGATATCAAATGTTGACAAGACCATGAGGAAAAAGGAACACTACTCCACTGCTGGTGGGAGTGTAGACTGGTGCAACCACTATGGAAATCAGTATGGAGAATTCTCGGAAGGCTATGATTGGAAGTTCCATTCAAGCCAGCTATTCTCCTTCAGGGTATTGTCTCAGAAAAACTGAAAAGGTCATATCATAGTGATATATGTTCACTCATGTTCATAGCAGAAAAATTTGTAATAGCTAACTCTTGGAAACAACCAAGATGCACATCAACCTCAGGGTGGATGAAAAAGATGTATTTAGTAATGGAATATTACTTAGCTATAAAAAGGATGATCTTGAGGCCTTCATGGGCAAATGGATATAACTTGAGGCTATTTATTTCACATAGTGAAATAAATAAGAATCATATTTATAAATATCACATTGTATCTCTAGTGTAAAAAGTAGTAAGAAATGTAGGAGTAAAGAAATATGTATTCTATTTGCAAGTATTTTATTGAGAATTTTGTATCTAATGTAGGAGTAAGGAGTAAAACCCAAAATGTGTAATTGCTATTGTAAAAGAGGAAGGAAAAGAAAGTGCTTTAAAGGATATAACTGCATGTATGTTTAAGTGTATAGGATTGATAACCATATTACAAAATTTTTGTTGCATAGTTGAACACAACTGTTTGCAGTCTCGCTGTTTGAATGTCCATTTTGTGTGCTTCACTTTTGTATTTTGAGCAAATATTTCTAAGAGGACAGTAAGTAATTATCAACTAGTGATTTCTTACCATTTATTGTTTTGAAAGTATGTATTATTTCTACCTCATTTCTGTTTTTTCTTTAAATAAAAACTTTATGAATCAAAGAGTTGGTTCTTTGAAAGAATAAAGAAAATTCACAAATTCCTAGCCAACTTTATCAAAAAGAGGGAAGAAAAGCTCAAACCCATGCAACAAAATATTAAAAGGATGAAATAACTACAAAATCTGTGGAAATACGGTCAACAATACCTACTTTGAAAACCTTTACTCTCCTAAGTTTGATATCACAGAAGAAATGGACAGATTCCTAGAAACATGTAAATTACCAATGCTGAGTGAAGAAGTTATAAAACTGCCAAAAAATCTGATATAATTTAATGAAATTGAAAACATAATGAGAACCTTACCAACAAAATAAAGATATGGTCCTGATGGATTCACTGCTGAATTCTTCAAGAAATTTAGGTAAAATTTAATGCCAATACTTCTCAAACTCTTAAAAAAATTGAAAGTTGCATGATTCTCCCTAAATTACTCCTGAAAGCAAACATTACCCTAGTGTCAAAGTTAAAGAAAGACTCGAACAAAAAGAAAATTACAGGCTAATCTCTTTAATGAACATAGATACAAAATTATCAATAAAATATTTGCAAATAGAATACAGCAAGTCATTAAGAAGATTATATAACATGATAAAGTTGGAATCCCAGGAATGCAGAGGTTGTTCAACATATGCAAACCAATAAACTTAATACATCATATCATCAGAACCAAAGACAAGAATCACATCATCATCTCATTAGATGTAGAAAAAGCTTTGACAAAATCCCAACATTCATCCATGATAAATCCCTACAGAAAAATCAGAATAGATGTTCTCTATCTCAATCTGACAAAATCCATATATAATGTATCAACAGTTAACATCTTTTTTTTTATTTTACAGAGGGTAAAATTAAACAGAACAAAATAGATCATAAAGAAACAATTTTAAGAAACACAGATTACAAAGCAAGACCACAGGAGATCTTCACTGTCCATCATATTGTCTCTTGTTTTCTTCCAAATAGTTGTCCACATTTTCACACACAGTGGATACATACTGAAAAATATAGTACAAAACTAATCAGAACAGGATGATGAAGGGTTTTTAGATCTTCAAGACCAGACAATAGGGAAGTCAATAATGGCTGCCATAATGTCTCTCGTTCTTTTTGAAATAGCTGTCCATGTCTTCATGTATATTGAAATTAAATATAAGAGACTAGACTAATATTACTCTGAACAGTGAATAATATAGTATTGCTAGATTTTATATCAGAATGCTACAGAATTAGCACTGGATATCTTAGTGTCTCTTCTTCAGAGTATATGTTCATTTCATCATGCATTATATAAACTGTTTAAAAATTCTATACATGTGTGGTTCTGTACCTGTATACCTATACTTTCTGTATTATAGGGAAAAACAGATCAAAGCAAGACTACGAAACAAATTCCTAGAAAACCATGAAATGAAAAAAACATAAAACCACAATACTAGGTGATCTACAGTAGTTACTATGCTGTCTCTTGTTATTTTCAATAGAATTGTCTACATGATCAGGCATAATATAATTTAACATAACATTACATAGCAATTTTAATAAAAACACAACATTGGAGACATTGTAGGACTTCAAAAGCAGTTAATAATTAAACCGGAATGGGTATCTTATTGCATCTTGTCATCTTTAGAGTAGTTGCCTCTACTCTTAGACTTGATACTATCAAGCATACAAAACTCGAATAAAATCAGTCAAGACAAAACAGCAGTCTAACAAACCAGATTCAAATAAGATCAGTCATAGTAAGACAATGTAAGTAAAACAGGGCTTCAATTTAAGTTAATAGGCAATTAAGAATAGTTACCGTAGTATATCCTGCTATTTTTGGAATAGCTGTCTGTGTCCTCAAATCTAGTATGAGTAGACAGACTGGAACAGAATAAAATCAAACTAAGCAGAGTGATAAGACTAATGTGGTTTTTAAATCCTGATACACTATTAACAATGTCCTTTGCCTTCCTTTTTTAGACAATTCTTCCCCTTTCCCTTTCTCAGGGTGCTTTGTATATTTTGGGTTTATATTTTAGATTAGAAGGGAAACCCATTATCTATCTAAGTGGTGCTGAACCTTTTTACCCCTGAGCTTGATCTTGAGCTGTATTCCTTTACTTACTAAAGCCTCAAGGTTTTCCTTCCTTATAGCTGAGTTGTTCTCCACTACACAAAAGTGTCATGACTTTCCAACCTATCTGCAGCTGCTGGACGAGTTGTCTCTATTTCTCTCTGGTTTTATCTTTTACTTTCAGTTTATTAACCGTCTTTCAGGTAGTGTATATTTCCTATTCAGAGCATCTCAATGGATCCTACCTCCTGATCTATTCTGCCTGTGTTTCTTTTTGTTAATGTATCAAGGCCATCTATATTAGAGACGGCCAATCTTCTCTGCCCCATCTCTGCTATTCTATTTTTCTGCTTTTATTTGTCCACTTTTCTCCTTCATTCCACTGTCTGCCCCATTCACTGAGGCTTCTGTGCCACTGTTGCTGAAATCCTGGTATTTTTTTCTATCTCTCTTTAGAATGTCCTTCAGTACTTTTTGTAGGGTTGGATTGGTGGTCATAAACTCCCACAGTTCCTCTTTTACATGGAAACATCTTGTTTCTCCATTAATTTTGAGGGAGAGTTTTGTAGGGTACATCAATCTGGATTGGAGGTTATTTTCTTTCAGGGCTTGGGCTACTTCACTTCAAGCTCTTCTTGATTTGGTAGTTTGTGCTGACAAGTCTGCTATGATTTCAATGGATTTTCCTTTATAGGTAATCTGCTTCTTTTCTCTGACTGCTTTTAATATTCTGTTCTTGTGGTGAATTTCTGGGATCTTGATTATTATATGTCTGGATGTAGATCTGTTTTGGTTGTAGTTGCCTGGATCTCTGTATGCGTCATTTATCTGGATATCATTTCCTTTTCCTACATTTGGGAAGTTTTCCCTAATTATTTCTGTGAATAGCCTTTATAATTTATTTGTGTTTGCTCCTGCTTCTTCAGTCACATTTTTTATTCTTAAGTTATAAATACTCATGTTGTCTTCTAGCCTTTGTATTGTTACTTCCTGATTCCTTTTTATTTTTAAGAGGTCTTTTCTTTCACAATCAAACATTGCAAATTTCTCTTCAAATTTTGAAAGGCTAACTTTAGTTTCTGTCAAGGCATTTTGCCAGCTTTCAATGGAGTTTTTAATTTCCTGGTAACTTCTTTGAATCTGTTTCATGTATTCTAGATTTTGTTTATATTCTTCACCAAAGGTTTCTTTTCTTTTTCTAGGTTCCTCCATTCTCACATCTGTTTCTTCTTGAGAGGTGCTTAGCATTTCTTTTATTAATCTTCTTATATGTTGCCTCACTTGGATTAGAATTTTAGTTTTAAGTTCTTCTATAAGGTCATGAAGATATTTCTTTATGTCTGCTGATACTGTGGCCAATATTGCATGATTGCTGCCTGGATCTCTTCTGTATTTAGCTCTTCTGGACTTTATTTTCCCAGGGTCAGTGGCTGAAGGCTTTTTCTTCTTTCTTTCTCTTGTCATGTTTCTGGTTTCTTTCAGACAGGTGTATGGTGGAGGTCTCAGGCCCTCTCCATATTGCTTATGGTTTTCCTGAAGCATGCTGGCTGGGAGCTTGCTGCCTTTTCCAGTTTGTTAGCTGAGGTGCATACAGGGATGATGTGGGCTAACCCTTCTTCTCTGAGCCAGTCAACCAGCAAGTGCCTTTAGCACGTTAGTCTGTGCTGTGCAGACATCACAGGTTCGGGACAGCTTCATCCCTGGCTTTTGGCTCCTGATCAGGGGCGTGACCCAGCCCAAACAGGTCCCACCAGTCCTCTCTGGGCCAGGGGTGGCTGACTGACACCACTGTGGTTCTGGGTTCAGGCCTATCCTGCCCAACTCCAACATGTCTTCTAGCTGGCCACACCTGCTGCAGGACCCAATTTCCAGTGCTTACCATGAATTAATGCAACTTTCCACCTTGGCTTCACTCTGTGTGGCGCCACATCCTCTCACCAAGGGCCCTGGACTCACCAACTCCCAATTTCTGCAGCTGTGGCTTCTGTGCGACTGTGAATAGTCTTACTCCAAGGCAGCCCAGCACAGCGCTGGACCAGTCCCAGTGAGTGTGTCTGGCTCCAGCCTTTCATCCATGTTTTTCCTTCCTTTCTATCTTTTTTCTTTTTCCTTAGTTTCTTCCTGGCTCACGAGAATCCCTCTCCTTTCATCTGGTCTTCTCCATGTTGCTAAATTCTAGCATCTGAGTTGTTTTTCTCAGAGAGGCTCTCTACCCTGCTAACCTATCAAGCCGCCATCTTCTGAACTCACAACATCTTAATAAATAAGCAAAACCCAAAAACTTTCAACCTAAAACCAGAAACAAGACAAAGATGTCCATTATCACCACTCTTAGTCAATATAGTTTGGGAAACGTTAGCCAAAGCAGTTAGACAAGAGATAGAAATAAAAAGAATAAGCATGGGAAAAGAAGTTAAACTTAAATTATCATTATTTGCATATGATATGATATTATGCATAGAAGACCCTCAAAACTCCATAGAAAGTCTTCTAAATGTAATAACCAAACTCAGTAATGTAGCAGGATACAAACTCAGTGGTAAAATATCAATAGCATTCTTGTACACAAACAACAAACACACTGAGAGAAATAACGCAAACCACACACTTTAGTATAGCATCCAAAAACAAACAAAAAAGAGATAGTTAGGAATCAATCTAACAAAGGAAGTAAAAGATCCACACGTTGAAAATTGCATTATTATGAAAAAAGAAATCAAATATTTCAGAAAATGGAAAGACATTTTCTGTTCACAGGATGAGCAAACCTTATGAAAACGGGCATTCTCTCAAATTTGTCATACAAATTTAATGCAATTTCCATCAAAATATCATTTTCTTACCTCACAGATCTAGAGAAATTGTTGTTAAAATTCTTCTGGAATCAGAAGAAACATAGAATAACAAAGGCAATAAAGGCAAGGCAGGAGGCATCACAATCCCCAGCTTGAAATTATATTACATAGATACTGTGATAAAATCAGCATGGCATTGGAGTGAAAACATGGCCACAAATCAGTGGAATAAATAAGAAGATAAAACAACAACTACAAATATACTCAGCTACCTCATCTTTGTCAAAGGGCTCAAACATATTCAGTGGAAGAAATATAGCTTCTTTAATAAATGGTGCTGGAAAAATTGGCTTTCCATATGCCAAAAACTAATACTAGATCCATATCTCTCACTATGCATTAAACTAATGTTAAAATGGATCAAAGATCTAAATATTAAAACAGAAACACTAAATCTGCTGGAAGACAAATTAGGTAGGAATCTTGACACAATATGAGTAAGTAAAGAGCTTGTGAAAAAAATCAAACTGCACAGGAAATACTTCCCAGAGTCAACATATGGGTTCTCATCTTACTAAAAAGTTTTTGCATGTCAAAAGAGATTAAACAACAGAGTGAAAAATAAACACATGAATTGGGAAAATCCCTTGGCCAACTGTCCTTCAGACAAAGGACTTCTATCTAGAACTTACAAAGAATTTAAAAGATCAGTCCCCCCAAATTCAAGGACCCAATACAAAAACAGGCATTTGAGTTGGATATATACTTCTCAGATAAAGAAATACAAATGGCAAATAAATCAATGAAAAAATGTTCAACATAAATGGTCATTCGAGAAATGCAAATTAAAGCAACACTGAGATTCCATCTCACTCCAGAAAGAATGGTTAGGACAAAAAATCAACCCATAAAAAGTGTTTCCCCTAGGGACTTGTTGGTGGGAATGTAGACTGGTGCATACACTGTGGAAATCAGTGTGGAGATTTCTTAGAAAGCTAGGATTAGAGATTACATTTGATCCAGCTCTCCTGCTTCTGGAAAGTTTCCCAGAATAATTAAAAACATCATACCACATTGATGTATGTGTACCCATATTCATAGAAGCACAACCCAAGGATCCATCAATTGAGGAATGGAT